AGTGGGAGTCACACTCTACACTCACACTCACACTCACACTCACACAACCACATCGCCCACGCACACTGCAGATTCACGCACACGCACATCAGCACACGCACGACGCACGACGCACACACACACATAACACGAAATACACACACACACAACACACTCATATATATAAGAAAATTATTAACTACCATATGAAGGAAAAATTAGAACTAGAGAATAAAACAGTTGTAGGGGAAAACAATAATGAAAATGATGGTGATATTAGTAACACTGACTACAATTATACCATGCAATCTGTAACCCTGTCTAACAATTCTCATAACTATTTTCAAAATGATTTTCATGTTAATCTTCATTTCTTTTATTATTAACTGCCCCTTTTAATGAAATACAAGTATACAAACAACCTTATCATTCTCTATTTGAACAAAGAAAACCTATGATAATGCTTATCATATCTTTTATTAAAGTTTATAATATATGACTTATTTTGACAAGTTTCTTAATCAAAGAAGCAAAATAAAAATAAAAATGGAACAGACTTTTAAAAATAGTGTGGCTTAATTCAGACACAAATATTTATGTGTTCATGGTAAATTTCATTAAAAAAATCTTTTAAAGCTATTTCAAACATAAGGAACATTACTTTTCTTCAATATTTAGTGTTATGGTTAGGAAAAATAAGGAAAAAATATAGGCTTCTGTTTTTTTCATCAATGTTTTCTGAAGGTATCTGGTAAATTTGGCTTCATCACATATCTTACAAGTTGATGCAAAAATAATTCCCCTCCCCAAAAATCATTCTGATAAATGAAACTTTCATTTTTTTTACTAAATATATGATACAAAGGGAAACAAAATGAAAATGGTTAGAAATATAAATTTAATGATGATATGGTTTAGTGGGATCAGTAATTTATGATAATTCAAATGATTTTTTTTTCCTTTTCAAAGTATTATATTTCATACAAAATAATATTATATTTCACTACAGTGAATTAAACATACAAATTAATTTAAACTTTTATCATCTGCTTTAGTTACAGCTTTAACATAAATTTATTGATGCTTATATCATTCAATAAGACTTTCAAAGTAACACATGTATGCTCCCAAATTTCAACTTTTCACATAATATTTTCCACATCACTTTGAGATCTATGTGTTAGTAAATGACTCTTCAAATTATTCTTCTGGGATGATCTATATGGACAAATATTACAAGCATATGGTTTTTCTCCTGTATGAATGCGCAGATGCCTATTAAGATTATTTTTCTGAGCAGCTCTGAAAGTGCAGTGAGGGCATTGGAAAGGCTTCTCTCCTGTGTGTGTGCGTATATGGATCTTCAAGTAGTCCCTAGTAGCAGAACTGTAGGAACAATGTGGACAGTCAAAAGGCTTGTCTCCTGGATGAACCTGCCCCAGAAAGGGCTGTGTGCCTTTGGTATGAGAACCATAGGAATTCTGGGGTAGTCTGATGTTGCCATCCTGTATCCCCACACAGGGTCCTCTCTCTCCTGCTATATGGGGACCACAACCCGGAAGCACCTGTTGAGGATGCCTAGCTTATTCATGGTAATAAGGGAAATAGAATAATTAAATTCTTGCAGTTATCCATCATTTTGCAATAGCTTTTAGTATAAACATAATCATAATTATCAAGTACAAACAATATTCAAACTACACAAACTGTAAGTGCAGCAAAATAGTTTTGAAAGAGTATATGCTACTTTCTATATAAAATGCAGGTTATCACTGTACAAGTGCACAATATGTTTTGAAAGAGTATATACTACTTTCTATTATTAAACTTAAAAAAATACGGTCTTTACTATCATTATACTCTCAACCTGTATTGTTCAGACCAGTGCGGATGGCATTGTACAGTACATTGCTATGACCACCTATGGTTTAGTTTATATATTATCTTTTATACTATAGATGGTCTGCTCTTACTAAGTATCGCGTAAGTATGAGCCATAATTATGTAAATTATTATTTAATATTCACCTGTTTATCTCTTTCCATGGATTTTCTGGTAAATACTTTTACTATCTTATCGTTTCTGTTCATCCGCGTTATAATGTTCAATTAAGTAATCTGCGTGTACTCTGTTTCTAATTACATGTCATAATATGAATACTCTGGTTAACCATCAGTATACACAAAAACAAATCTCGTCAAACTCAAGGAAACGGTGATAATCTCAGGGAGTACCGGCGCAAGGTCTATCTTTCATATTTTGATCTTTTTCTTCTCGTTGTGGGCTCAGTACTTACTGTACCGTCTTTGTTGTTCGATAGAACTATTCACATAAACTAATACTATAGCTTGAGCCACTACAGTTTGAATTCACTCTATCCACGATTTTCTCGAGTCAATATAGTCAACTATTTCATATTGATCATACACTTGTTTCTTACCGATTTTTCTTAGCGCGGCGGTCTGATCTTATCACATTAACTTCTAAGATCTAATATCCAGTCATTACCTCTTTTTTCATT